ATATCAAAATAGACATTTATACACCATTCGATAGAGAATTTCAAGAGCTACATTTTGCACTATTTTGTTTCGGAAAACAAGATATTTCAGTTCTCGTCCAAATTTCCGCTTGGATGCCCACTGTGCATGGACAGACAGAGTAGTGAGAAAGCGCAAGTACAGAAAGTCTGCTACAATTACTTCTTCGTTTAACCTTTCTTATTCTCAAAATAAGATCAATTCCGATCAAAATATTAATTTTAAAATTGGATGGACATATGGTTCTAAGTGTTCACTTTCAGGTTATATATATTTTGACCCATTCCGATGGCTTTGAAAATTTTTTTGAAATTTTCCTATAAGAAATCGTGTTATGCGTACAAAACTATTACGAACAAAGAAAAGTCCGTGGTAGATGATTCCTCATGTGTTGTGACGAGTTTCCAAATACATCATTTAATGGAATTCGGTGAATACTTTCGATTCATATATAATGTGTCTATCTTTCGTGTTGATTTAAAATAAACTAAAATAACTTAGATAAAATGAGCTTTGTTTTATCCCATATACACTTTTGGTAAAAATCTTTCACTGTCAAGTTACAAAAAATCTTATAATAAGGGACATTGGAAAGTGACTTTTTAGATTTCATACAGACTCTCGTTTTAGAATAGAGAGTCTGTATGGACTGTTACATGTGATAACATATAATAATACACATCTGACGGCATCTGTAGCTAATTATTTTCTTTATTCAGAATGATTTTCAAGCATATGTATTGTATGCATTTCTTCTATGTGATAACTTCGAAAAACGTTTGAAAAACGTCTCAAAAGCCTTCTATATAGAGTGAAGTTATATCTATTCTAAAAATAGACACTTAGAACTATGTCAGTCAATTCTTTGAACAAAATCAATGCAAAATGCAACTTAGTCTACAAATACCAATGATGGCAAAACATGATTTCAAGTGATTTCATTGTGACTTTATTTTGATTCGATCTTCCTCTCCTTCATTTTGACCCGATCCGTTTTGAATAAGAGTGTTCTTTTAAAAAACTTTATTATTGAGATTACTATCCATTTCAAAATACGATAGTCCCCGATATTTTTCGAATATCTCTTTCACGAAAATAGCTGGCGACCTGCGGTTTTCACCGTTCGAAAGAGGACACTTCGGGATGTTTACCTATGTAAAAATAAGAACTTTTGAGAACAGTTTTCCGGGTTATTATAACTCGGAAAATTTGGAAAAATTAGTGTATTTTCCCAAAAAAAAACTGCTTTTCTTTTTTTCGCCAGTTTTGTAGAGCTTGCGGTCCTCTTTCGAACGGTATCTAAGTAACCCCCAAAATTTTGCTTCTTCGCCCAGTTATAAAAGTTTTAAAATTGGCTAATTTTTCGGAAAATTCGACTTTTTAGTCGTAAAGAATGTCGAGACATAGGTAGTCGGCTACCCTGATCATCATGACTGACGATGGTACTTTTTCGTTTCTGTGCGAAAAATTTGACTTCACAGAATTTTTCGTGAAAGTACTTTTTCTGCGGCTTCAGGGCTAAATATGAAGTTCTCGAAAAATTCTGTAAACTCAAATTTTTCGCACAGAAACGAAAAAGTACCATCGTCACGATGATCAGGGTAGCCGACTACCTATGTCTCGACATTCTTTACGACTAAAAAGGTCGAATTTTCCGAAAAATTAGTCAATTTTAAAACTTTTATAACTGGGCGAAGAAGCAAAATTTTTGGGATTACTTAGATACCATTCGAAAGGGGACCTCGAGCTCTACAAAGCTGGCGAAAAACAGAAAAGCAATTTTTTTTTGAGAAATACACTAATTTTCCCAAATTTTCCGAGTTATAATAACCCGGAAAACTGTTCTCAAAAGTTTCTTTTTACATAGGTAAACATCCCGAAGTGTCCTCTTTCGAACGGTGAAAACCGCAGATCGTCAGCTGTTTTCGTGAAAGAGATATTCGAAAAATATCGGGGACTATCGTATTTTGAAATGGATAGTAGTCTACAAACAATTCTAAACATGTTTTTGCAAGCTTTCACACTTCATCATCAGACAAAATTATTCGTCAACTGAGAAAAAACAGACTATTAATATTCATAACATGAAGTGTGAAAGCTTGCAAAAACATGTTTAGAATTGTTTGTAGAATTATCTCAATAATAACGCTTCATTGCCTTTGATTATTTTTTTTCGCATTTTGCCTTTGAAAAATTATTTTATGGTTTAAATAAAATAAAGTGTTAATTTGTCTTACCGATAATAACTTCTAATAATGTATCATCACTCATTATTGTTTGGTTTATATTATCATTATTATCAAGTGCTAAAAGTGTTTCCAATGAAAATACAAATTGATTTGTACTATATTGACAAATAGAACCATAATAACATTTGGAACAATGATAAATAAAATCATATACTTTTTTATGTTTTTCTCCTTCAAAACATTCACCATTATTAATACAATAATTACATCGATCATACGTAAAATCATAGTAAAAACAGCTTGTTCGATAAACTTCTTTATCACAAAGACATAGATAAAATTTGGGATCATAAAAACATAAAATATTTGATATTGTTTGATTATATTGACTTGTTTGACAAAGATTATGATGTTTTTTTATAATCTTTAATACATCACTAATCGATGAATAATTATTTGGTATAAGATTAAATTCATTTGAATGATAACAACGATTTTTTTCGATTAACTCTTCATACGTAATATTTACATAAGACATATTATGATGCGTATATGACAAATAGATATTATCTTGTTCTTTTTGTTCATAGCGATGATAAGTTTTCAATAGACCAATTGGTGAAAGAACAAAATCTTCAAAATTAAGCTTATAAAAATTATTTTTATTAATACGTTGTTGATTTTGAATATCCAATGTCAATGTTTCCATATTATATGATAGAAATTGAGTGATCATTATCATTGAATTAAATGTATTTAATTTCATATTTAATGATAAATAAGCTGTTGGAAATTGACAGTGTTGACCAAAATAACATTTACTACATAAACACATTGATATATCATGATAATATTCATCTGCATAAGCTGTGCATGTTGAATTATTTTTACATATATTAATTTTACAATCGGATGTTTGTAAATGACATGTTATTCCATATTGTTTCAATGGACATATACATTTGAAATAATTATATTTGTCATTATCAAAAAATGTTGGCATACATAAACTATTTCCATTATGTTAGTGGGTCGATCGCCGTTCTTATGCGGACTTCACCTTTGATGTCTCTTTAGGTAGCTTAGCAATGTTACACAAAGCAGCAATATGTTCGGTTTTAAAACCAATTTCGTTGTTGAGAATGGTAATTCGTTGTTGAGTAACAATAAAACGAAGTGTGGGTAATTGAGTTGATAATAAGTACTGATTAGCATTTTGAATACGCTCTAGGACGAAATGTGGTTGGTCAGAGTAAAAATCATTTGAAA